ACCCTGTGTGGCAAAATGTATCTGAAAATTCTAACACATAGGATCTGGGAGCAGTGGTGCACATCTGTAATCCTAGCAGCTCCAGAGGCTGAGCAGGGGGTTCCTGAGTTCAAAGCCAGGCTCAACAATTTAGTGAGATCCTAAGCAATTTAGTGAGACCCTGTCTCAAAATTTAAAAAATAAAAAATAAAAAAGGACTGAGGATGTGGCCCAAGTGGTTAAGTACCCCTGCGTTCAATCCCTTGTGCAGAAAAAATGTTAAAAAGTCTAAGACATAGGTGCAATTATAGAAGTTAGCATGTGGTTGGACATTTTGGGGTCTCTACTCCTGAATAATCTTCCTAGTTATACCCTTAGGTGGGTATCTTTACACACAGCCCATAAGATGTACCTATTTACAAGTGAAAATTATGAAAATAAATGGAAATTTCTGTTGAAATGCTTACCTTTAATTTTGATAGATATTTCTACTAAGTGATATTGCTATTTACCCCATGAATAGGGTATCTGTGTTGTGTAGGAGATAGAAAAAAGGTAAATGAGAAAACTGAAGGAAAATTAATTATGTTCATATTATTCATTTTCTTTAAATGATATATAGCAGTTTCTTTTGTTTATTCTTTTTGCATCCCTAAGCAGTAGGTTTGGACAATACTATTATCATTTTGAAAAAATTAAAATAAGAAGAAATTAATTTTCTTTAGCAGATTGTTGCAGGCAGCAATGGCCCCCAATTTGTTTGGTCCTCCCTGTCTCCACATTCTTGGATAATACCTTTCACACTGACTCCAGGGTTGGCCATGTAACTTGTTTTGACCAATGGGACAAGAGAATGTATGACATAAGAAGAAATTTAATAGCATTTGCATATCATAGCTTGCCCTCTTTTGCTGCTTTTTTGTACCCTGAGGCCACCATGTGAAGCCTGGGTTAGTCTGCTAGAGCATGAGAGATCACATGGAGCAGAGATAAACCATCCCAGCTAAGTCTTCTTCAGCCAACCACCTTATCAATCTCCAGGAAAATGGGTGAGGTAAATCAACAGCTGCTGACAGAGACCTGTCACTCCAACCCACATCTGAAGAACCCTCCAAATGACTCAATGAATCAAGAAAAATAATAAATGTTTGTCATTTTAAGTTACTATGCTTCAGGATGGTTTGTTACATAGCAAAACCTAACTGGTACATCCCCAAGAAAGTCTAGTCAGGATAGACTCCCTAGTTCATGGTTCCTAAATTCATGTTCAGTTGCTCTCCTCCTACTCTTCCTCAGAGGTCAAGCTTAGATATGCAAAACTTAAAGATATTATTTTGGATCTTGGGTATGACCAAGCCTCATCTTGAATTTTTCAAGGGAAAAGATCATGACTTGATTTTTCTAGCTGGTTTAGTACATAGCTTTATTCATAAAATATGCTCAGTGTAGTGGGGTGGTATTTCTTTTCTGAAAAGGAAGTAAACTTAAGTTTTCCTTACAATTATGAATGGGGAAGCTACTGGTGGTGTGTACATCTAAAAATTTCTAGTTACAAAGAAAGTTTTATAATAACAAAATTTCCTAAGAGATAGAACAGAGCAGATAAAAAAAAAAAAAAGCAGCTGTGTCTTACTGAAGCTTCAGTGAACATTATTCACACTGAAGTCTCTGTGAACAGTGCCCTCCTAGAGTTGTGCAGCATGAAACTTACTCAGTGGTACCTGGGGCCCCTGCCTGGCACAGGATAAATGTTTAGTAAAGAATAAGTGCATGCACGCACATGTTTGTGGTATTTAGTACAGTTTTAACTGGAAAGAAAAACCAAATTAGAGTCCCTGTTGAGCAGGTTCTCAGAATACAAATCTCCTTGCTTTTTATGTGACAAAGTGAAAGAAATTACCTAAATAAATTGAATAGATGAACTACAGACTCAAAGAAGAAACTTTCACCAAATTCTTCAGGTTAAAAAACAATAAAAAATAAGAACTCATTTTGGTTAATGGTGACACCTAGTGGTGTATGAAACTGTGAATTTTCTGGGACTAAATGGTTTTGTTGTACATGTTAGGAGGAGGAAAAGTCCTAGGGGTTGGGAACCACAGCTCCCTTTTACAGCCTAGAGTCAGTCAGCAGGTGGGTGCTCTTCCTGAAGGAGGCCTGCCCAGATCTTCCTGTACAGAAGATCTCAGAATAATGCCAGAGGTGGAGGGATGCTCCCTGCCAGTGAAGCAGGCCCACTTCCGACAATCATTTCTGTCATCCATGCCTCTCAGCTTGCAACTTACTCTGTCCCTTCCTTCTTTCCTCTTCTGCTTTGACTTACCCTTTATTCACCTTCTCTCCCTTTTCATTATCCTCCTTGCTCACTGATGCCTCCCAAAGACATAGCAAAGCCCAGAATAACATTATCCACAATGGCAACCCCTACCCCATATGACCAATTAAATTTAAATTAATTAAAACAAAATGAAATTAAAAATTCAATCTCTCAGGTTTGGGATGTAGCTCAGTGGTAGAGTACTTGCCTAGCATGTTTAATCCAAGTACTACAAAAGCCCTGGGTTTAATCCAAGTACCACAAAAAATACTTAAAAGCATTTGCATATCATAGCTTGCCCTCTTTTGCTGCTGGGTTTAATCCAAGTACCACAAAGAAATAAATTAATTAAAAAACCAGAAAATTCAACCCCTCAGTCACATTAGTTACTCAAGAGTCAGGAGCACTCACAGCTGCCATGTTGGATGGTGCAGATACAGTTGTGTGCATCCTGTTAGAGAGCACCAGCCTTGAGCTTGACTCACCTACCTCTTCTCATCTCTTCCTTCTCAACACCTTTTCTCTAAATGGCAGTTCTTGAAGCTGTCAGCTTTCTGCTCCTCCCTGTCCCTCTCTACTTTCTTCGGTTTATTGGGTAGCTTTCTGTTTTCTGTTTATTATTATGTAAACTTGTTAAGGTGACCCTGCCGTGGTGAACACAAAACTATATAATCATATTGGACAGTTTATTCAAGACAATGATTCACAGCATCTTGTTTTCCATGCATTGGAACGCATCAAAATATTTTTAAACTCAACACATCAACACATCATTTAAAACAATTATACCCCAGGCCCTTTTCTTTTTTAATCCACAGTTCCTTACCTTTTTACCTTGTCTTGAGTTAAAGTAGCTTTAAAATTAAACAGCACATCTTTTTTAAAAAAAAAATAAAGTCTGAAAATACATGTTTTATGCATAGAATAGCTCTAAAATGATACACAGCAAACTGGGAACGTGTTGATGTTTGGCTAGAATGAAGTAGACATTTACTTTTTATTAAATACCCTTTTGTAGTATATGAATTTGTTCTAGGGGTGTGTGTGTGTGTGTGTGTGTGCGTGCGTGCACGTGTGTTTATGAAACTTTTAAAATTAAATCGAGTTATAAATCGCTTTTGAAATTAAAAGTAACACCTGAAAATAAATCTTACGACACTGAAGAATCAAACCAAAAATATTCCAGAGCTCTCAGAAAGAAACTAACTTTTGTATTGTGTTTGTTTGTTTTAAGAGACAGGGTCTTGCTATGTTCCCCAGGCTGGCCCCACATTCCTGGGCTCAAGTGATCCTCCTGCCTCAGCCTTGGATTTGCTGGGACTGCAGATGCATACCACCATGCCCATCAGGAAAGGAGGTCATTAGGTGGTATGTGTCTATTTAAAAAGATAATACAAGGAGTTATAGGACCATATTAATTCAGGTTTATTTCCAATGACAATTTGCCAGGATCCTAGGACCTGAACGCCCTGACAAGTGGCCCCTCCTGACTGTTGTGTTAGGAAGAAAGCTTTCCTTAGAGTTTTGTGTTTCTTTAAGAAGGGACTTGGGAACCAGGATAGAATCATTATACCTACATCATAAGTACTAATTATACTACCTTGTTGATAAAAAAGGGAAACTGAGTCAGGGCACAGTGAATTTGGTGTAAACCAGGGTTTTGTCAGCACTCTTGATTTCCTGTAAGGCTACGTGGCATGAAAACCATATAATCATATGTCCAGACCAAACTGTGGCATCTCTATGTGGATTATCTAAATAAAGCGCTGCCTAGACCATGCCACCCAGGGGAGTTGGTTTGTGGTTCTTTCTGTGGACTTCTATGGTGCCAGTCTGGCCTTGGGCAGAGTCAAGGTCCTCTTCAAAGAACAAAGGTTTACACTAAGGCTCCCTGGGATCTTATAGGAGTCTGTTTCCAATGAAAGGCTCTCTGGTTCTCTATGTTAGGAAGATAAATAGCAGCTCATCCCTCGGTGGAACACCAGCCACTATCCTTAACCCCAAGTCAGATTGGCAATGGAAGATGGAACCAGCAATATAGTCAGCGCCACAGGGGCTCACCCTCACTTTCATATAGAGAAAAACTGAGTCCCACAGAGCTTAGAAGGTTAAGTGACCTTCCCTAGATTATGTAAAGGCTGATGGTGCTGGAGCCTCCTGCCAGACTGGCCAACCCAGCAGGTGCTGCTTCAGTTAAACCATCCCAATAGCCCTGGACACCCCTCTGCACAGACCCTTCTAGTCTCATAGGAGAGTCGAACTCCTCACAATGTTCAATTACCAATGAGAAGACTGGAATGTCAAGGACTGCGCAGTGTGTGTTTTCAGGTTAGATTTTTAAGGCCCTCTGTGCTAAAATTGTAGCTATCAGTCACCTGTGACTACTGAGCTCTTGACGTGCAATTAATCCAAATTAACTTGAGGATAATAACAGTAAGATACATATCAGATTTTGAATACTTCAAATGAAAAAATAAACAATCTCATTAATAATTTTATACTGATTACATGTTGAATGTATAATACATATGGATAATATTTTAGACATATTGGGTCAAATGAAAAATATAAAAGTTCATTTATCTATTTCTTTTCACTTTTTAGAACATGACAAAACTTTTTAGAATAGGACATTTAAAATTATACATATGACTCACATTACATTTCAGTTGGACAATACTGAGCTACACAATATAGACTCTGACTTCTGCTTTGTAATGTAAGACAGCATTACAGTATAATGAGCTCATGTGCACACATTTAAGGAAGGGGGAGAGAGAAGGGGAGGGGAGAGAGAGAGAAGGGGAAGCTGACTTTGTGTCTGCTCTGGAATGAGTGTGAAATGGGTCATAATGATTCCATTGTTCCCTTGGATGATCCTGATTCCTGTGATTGATTCCCAGAGGGTGAGCATTTCACTTTCCCAAGAGCAGATTCCAGTGTTTTTCCTCCTGCACCAACATGGATAAACCTCAAAAATCTGATACTGAGAGAAAAAAAAAAAAAAAGCAAAATATTGGTACATACAGATGATTCACTTCACATAAAATTGTAAAGCTGCAAAACTATATATTAAACATAGATATGCATGGGAATACCATCTAGGGATAGAGGTTCCCTTTGGGAAGGAAGGAAATGTGTTCGAGGAGGGGCTTCCATTGTATCTATAATATTCTTTCCTTATCTAGGCAGTGGTATGCTGTCACTTGATATTTATTTTCTATTCTTTGTGTATGCTGAAAATATTTCATAATAAAAGTGATTTAAGATGCATACTTTTCACCCACTGGTTAGGTACTAAAAGAGGCAGCAGATGCTTTTGATATGTGGGCATTTTACTTGCCTAATATGCCTATTGCAAATTTCCAGACTGTGCCCTATTTATCTCCTTAAAAAGTCCATTTCTATTCTGCACCCTGTCTATGTGGAACATTCAAAGAAAGTAATTGCTTTAAGCTCCAAGAAACTACTTTTTCTTTTAAATGCAAATAGATGGACTTACACATACAGGGAGACACAGTGATTTGGGGATGTCACATTATTTCACTTATCTATTCTGCAGAACAAACCAACCCTAAGACAATGGCTTAAAACAAAATGATTTATTATTTCTCACAATATGGGTGCGCTGGCTGGGTGTTTGTCCTGCTGGTCTCACCAGGGCTCATGTGTGCGGGTTGCTTTCAGCTGGAGCTTAACTGAGCTGGAAGATCTAAAATGGTCTCACTCATGGCTGGCAGTTGGTGCTGCGTGTCAGCTGGAGCAGCTTGGTTCTCCAGGTGGCCTCTCAGCCTCGCACTGGCTTCCTGTGTAGCATATTCAGGACAGAATTTCAATAAACAAAGGCAGAAGCTATAGATTCTTTTAAGATCTGGGTCCCTGAACTCACAGGGGGTCAATTTAGGCACATATTGTTCAAAGAAAGTCACAAGGCTAACACAGATTCAAAGGATAGAAAAAATAGATTTTGCCTCTTAGTGAGAGGGGCTTAAAATCTCTGGTCATATTTAACTACCCACACATACATTAAAATATTTAATTAATATTTTAAAATACATAAAATGCACAATAAACTCAGAAAAGATAGTCTCAATTTCCACAATTTCCCTCAATTGGTTAAAAAAAAGAAAGGCATCTATCATTCAATTATTGCCCCCTTCCAAATGCAGAAGTCTGAATTCCCTTTGAACCTAGATAAAGTTCCCTTTTTTAATGGAAAAATAAAGAAGCTGGGGAAACTAACCTACCTTTTAGAGGGAATGATGAAACCCAGGTCTCCCCAGCCGGGAGCATATGGTACTGCTTGATGTTTAACTGTGTCAGCTCTGGATAAGAGGGATGGCAGGACTTTAGAGTTGAAGACAGAGCATCATCTATTTTCTAAACTAATTTTTGGTCAACGTGGAATTTTGTGTTTTAGGAAGATGATTCGAAGGGCACAAAATAAAGCTAAGAGGAACATAGATGAGCAAAAGGGGAGGCAGCTATAACAGGACACCAGATGGAAAGGTTTCCACCACTGCCTGAGGATAGCTGGGGTGTTAATTAGATGCTATTATGACTTGTATTAAGAGAGGAAAAGAATGTCAGCTTTGTGCCACAGACAAAATATATGAAATAATAAGGGGAAAGGGGACACATCTAGAGTAAAAGAATATTAAACTTTAAAAGTGGAATTTGAAAAAGAGCTTCACTTCCAAGAAAAAAAGAAAATAGTATAATTTTGAAAGCAACTATTTGAAACAACTGCTATTGTACTAGTTTGTTTATGCTGCTGTAACAGAATACCACAGACTGGATAACTTATAAAGGAAAAAAATTTACTTCTCTCAGTTCTGGAGGCTGGGAAGTCCAAGATCAAGGTGCCAATAGTCTCTGTGTCTGGTGAGAACCGGAATCTGCTTCCAAGATGGCAACTTGGATGCTGTGTTCTCTGAAGGGGAAGAAAGCTGTATCCTCAGTGGCATAAGACAAAAGGGTCAAACCCTTTGGTAGGAGCACCTAATCACATTCTCAGGATGGAGACCTGATGGCCTGATCACCTCTTAAATGTCCTGTTTTTTTTTTTTTTAATATTACTACATTGGCAACACTTGAATTTTGGGGAGGACATATTCAAACCATATCAAACCCTGAACCTTAATCCCCATAGGTGAGACTGTATTCAGTTAAAGAAAACATGTTTTAGAAGTCAGGTCTCAGGAGGTCACTGATGAAAGAGTGCAATTTTATTGAGGAGATGACTGATGACCCCTGTGGATTAAAGAGCATAGAATAAAATCATGGGCTAGGGACCCTGGCTGAAAGCAAGGGCAAAATGTAAGCCAAGTGAAAACACTCCAAGCTGCAGGCAGCAGAAAAGGGTGTTGTCTCTCTGTGTGAGAATAAGGGGAAAAGGAAAAGGAAGGACCTGAGACTTCTTGATCCTGGACACACAACCCAAACATGCCTATGGACACTCACAAAGCACTCTGGGCAGAGATACTTAGGAGCCTGGCTGCTTTGGAGTCCTAACCTAGCCCTCACTAGCTATTTGACCTTGAGTGAGTCAGATGACCTCTCTGAATTTCAAGTTTTTATCTGTAAAATGGGAGAACAAGTTGATGCACAGGGTATCTGGCATGCAATAAGGGCTCAGTACTTAAAGTTCAGTATTGAGTTCCTGAACCCTTCCTGGAAGGTTTAAGTTCATACTGTGTTATCACATTTCCTGTCTCCTAACCAGCTCTGACATTTAAACTCATAAAACACAGGCCCTGACTTAAGCATAGCAGCTTTGGGACTGCCAATAGGAGTGGTGAATAGTTTTCCTTCTCGCCAGGATTCAGCTGACTTAGTAGCAAACATCAGCATGGCTTCAACTTTTAAGCATTTATTGCATTAGGAAGCAAAGCAAAAGTCTCAGTCAATTTTCAAGTGTCATCTGCAGGACTGCAACTGTACTCTGCTAGCTTTCTTAATGTAGATTTTCCTTCCCAGGAAGGCTTTAAAGATAATTTAGATATCTATTTATCTAAGCGCTCTTTGCCAGAAGATAAGAGGATAGAGAGAATAACATGTTGAGTTTTATTTTTAAGCCTAACATAATCCTCAGGAGTGGTTAATTTGCTTTACAAATAATTGTTGAACATTTACTATGTTCCAGTAAATACAAATGCTGAGGTGAGACAAAAGCAAGTAAAACAGTCCTTGCTCTTGAAGAGTTTATGCTCGAAAGGGAACCAGAACTAGTACACAAATGATAACCCTTGAGCTGGGGATGTAGCTCAAGAGGTAATGCGCTCGCCTGGCATGCACGGGGCACTGGGTTCGATCCTCAGCATCACATAAAAATAAAGATGTTGTGTCCACCGAAAACTGAAAAATAAATATTAAAAAAATTCTCTCTCTCTCATCTCTCTCTCTCATCTCTCTCTCTATATATCTTTAAAAAAAAAAGATAATCCTCAAGGCATGACATTCTGAGGACTACAGAACAGGTAGTGATAAGTTGAATCAGGGGTTGCAAAGGAAGGATAGCATTTTTTTCTATTTTTTTTTTTTTACATCAGCAACATTCTAAAAACAGCAAGAGCCTGATAAGTTCTAATTTTCCTTTCTCTGAGTTTTTTTTATACATTCATACATTTATGTGATTTTATGGTGTAGTCATGATAAGTTTTGTGTTCTTCTAAGTATTGTGTTATAAGCATGTCCTTTTGCCAAACTGTTTTCATCATCATAATTCCCATCTGTCGTGAGTGTGATCGCCTTTAGTATCTCCCATTGTAAGATAGATAAGCTATTTCCAGCCTTTTCACAGTTAAAAATTCCTGGGTTAGGGTATCTTTATGCATGTAGCTCTTTTCTTCATTAGTATCATTTTGTTTAGTTCAGCTCTGCAAAGTAGGGTTGATGGGGGTCAAAGGGCATGAGTATTTCTACTTTTTAAAATATATATTATTCGGGCTGGGGATGTGGCTCAGTGGTAGAGTGCTTGCCTAGCACGTTTGAGGCCTTAGGTTCAATCCTCAGCACCACATAAAAATAAATAAAATAAAGGTATTGTGTCCAACTACAACTTTAAAAAAATGAATTATATATATATATATATATATATATATATATATATAAAAATATATATGCTGATGTTTGCCACCCTGTCTCACCTCAGCATATATATATATATATATAAAATTCCATTGTTTCCCAAAAAAGTTTGGGTCCATGTGTTAGGCACTGTTCTCCATGGAGAATCAATAGAATGTAGAGATACACAGAAAGAGGTTTATCTGAGGGGTTGGCTGTTCTGGAGAAGTCCCACAATCTGCCATCTGCAAGCTGGAGGCCCAGGAAAGTTGATGGTATAGTTCCAATCTAAGTCCTGAGAACCAAGAGTGCTAGTGTCTGAGGGAAGACATGATGTCCCAGTTCAAGCAGAGAGCAAATTCACTCTTCTTCTGCCTTTTTTTTTTCCTAGCTGTGTCCTCAACAGATTGGATGATGCCTACCTACCATGGTAAGGGTGGATCTTCCTTATTCAGTCTTCCAATTCAAATGCTCATCTCTTCCAGAAATACCTCACAGACACAACCATAAATAATTTTACCAGCTCTCTGAGGGATTCCTTGGTCCAGTCAAATTAACACATAAAATTAACCATCCCAGCCCATTTACAATGTCACCAGCAATAGATGTGTCTGTTTTGTCAAAACAATGTCAGCACTGGTAAGTTGGTTTGGGATTTTTACTAACCTGCTATAATGTCATAGCTATTCCATGATGCCTCCTTGTTATTTGAATTCACATTTCCCTGATAACTATTTTCCCATATCTTTCCTGGTTATATCTCTTAGGTAATTTGCCTGTTCACAACAAATGAGCAATATTTTCACTGGCAACAAACAGCCTAGTCAGGCATAGAGTTAGGACAGTACAGTGTATTAAAGAAAACAGATGCAGGTTACACAAAAAGATAATCAGTGGAGGTCAACTAGAAAGGAAAAATGGACACCAGTATGTGACAAAGTTTTTTTTTAACCCTATGTGTTTTTCCTTTTTAGGGGGTGGTGGGGGAGTAGGTATTAGAGATTGAAACCAGGGGCACTCTACCACTGAGCTATATCCCCAGCGTAGCCTCAAAATAAATTTTTATTTTGATACAGGTACTCATGAACTTGCCCAGGCTGGCCTCAAACTTGCAATCCTCCTGTCTAAGCCTCCCAAGTCACTGGGCCTACAGGTATGTGACACCACTCCTGGGTCCTATAGAGGTTTTCAGTTTAATTTGTACAATTGTCCTCATAGGAATAAACAACTGAAGTTCCCTGTCTCTTTTAACTCTGATGAACCTAAGGGATCTCAGTCAAGAAGAGCCAACTCCACATGTCCCTGTCACTTCTAATATAAGTCCTTAACCCCCTTTCTTCTTCACTGGAACCTGCTGATTCCTATGGCTTTTGCTCTGCCTGGCTCTTGCTCACTTGATCCACCTCCTCCCTCTTCAGCTTCACATTTCTGGAATCCCTGTTCTATCCTACTGATGTGGACTCTGTCCACCTGATTCAGCCCAGGGCCCAGTGATTCTGGGTATTAGATCCCCAGGTTCTGCACTCTTCCTGGGTTCCTTTGGGGATGTGTTCCATCTTCCAGGAGGGTTAAAAACTATGAGCACCTTAGAGGAGTACTCAGTATCTTTTCTCCTCTACCAGGAAACAACAAGATAGTCTGAAAAAGACCACAGAGGAGAGGGTATGTTGCCCTTTGAGAAAACACCTTGTCTTAGTTCCTGAGCTCTACTAAGCCTGAAGTGCTCCCTGCCCCACAGAACTGATGGGCCTTCTGAAGAATCCTCCCCCCAGCCAGCATTTCCTAGCCATAGGAAAAAGAAGCAAAAGCTGACAAACAGCACTTTTTCCTTTCCATAACGAGAACATTGAGCATCAGGCTCCAAGCTCTCAGATATATCCATGTACTCAGGGCTGTTCTGTCCAACCAGATCCGCAGACCAGAGATCCCTTTCAGACATCTGTGGCTCAAACCACAAGTCTCCTACTGCCCACCTGGGTGAGGAACAACCATTCCTCCAGGGCAGGCAGAGGAGAGGCCAACCCTGTGCCCACAGAGTACAGGCACAACAGCCTCCCCATTAGTGGGGTCTTGATGGAAAGGGCTGCACCCAGGGGTTTGGGGTTGAGGCATGAGCTTGGCCACACTTTGTTTTCCTGAAAGCATCTGTGGCTTACACCCTCGTTAGAGGTCTTGCTGAAGGTGGTATCACTGAATCCCAGTGGCCACTGATGAGCTGCTTCCTGAGAGCACAGTGTTCTTCCCTACCCACAAAGCCAATGTCATTCCCTCTAAATGCTCTCAAAATGGGAGATGGGGGAAATGTGAGGTTTTTTGGCTCTGGGTGCTCTGTGTGGACAAGCACCACTCTGTCTCCATAGCAGGACAATGTGAACTCATGTCTGTGGCAGCCTTTTGCAAACAGCAGAGAAAGAGCTATACACATGTAAGGGATGATGACTGGGACTTCTAGCACTAGCCACATCCCTTACAGCCTCCCTGGTGTTGGAGGACTATCCACAGATAACATGTTTTGATATTTAAGCAGATTGCCTGGCTCATCCTCTTGGTTTCTCAGCCCTTCCTTTTTTTTTCAGACAAAACTGTATTAAATCACGTCCTCATCAAACTGAATAGATACCCCAGCCAGGGTCTGGCATGGGCTGTGACAATGATGCCATTCAGATTCTCAGTGCATCCTTACATTTGCCTCACATGCACCCTGAAGAGAACTTTGGCAGCTCCAAAATAGAAAAAAAAAATGCTTTTGATCCTGGACTACAGTTGGCTCTCTTATTATGGGAGAGCAATTATTAACTTGTTTTAACTTGACATTTAAAACCATCTCAGTATCTGTTTTTTATTATCTATATCACACTA